CAAGAAGCAGCTAGGAAAACCCCCCTAGCCCTGCTGTCCCCAGCTGCGCCGGGTCACAACTGCCAGACTGTGGAAGCCCCAAGGCAGGGAAGCAGGGCAGGAGCTAAAACCTACAGCCTGTGCCTGGTCTGGGTACAGATCTGGGAGGCGCAGGTCCTCCCTGTGCCCCAGGAGTACACGTGGCAACAGGGAGCCAGCCCTCCCCCAAATGAGCCACCCATGCCCTGTCCTGCTCCCGGCTGGGGCCCTGCAGCTATGCATCGTGGCCCCAGACCCACCCTGGGCAGCAGCCTCAGCCTGCACCTGCCCCAGGTTCAGATCTGGGGGGGTGTGGGTCCCCCCTGCCTGCTGGGAGTACATGTGGCAGCGGGGAGCTGCCCCACCCGAGCCCACAGCAGGGAAGGAGCGGGGCAGGGGGCTGCAGTCCAGTCCACAGCCCTGGCATCTGGGGGCCCCCCTCCAGAGGGCTTGGAGGACTGCAGGGGCCGGGAATTTTAATCACGGAGTTGGGGTGTTGTTTTGGTTTTTTTTTTTAACCAGAGAAATTGTGATTTTTTTTTTGTTTTGTTTTTTTGTTTTTTTTTTTTTTAATATTGGGGAAAACCAGGATCCCTGCTGATCACGTTTACTGGAGGTAACTTAGTGCTTTTCAGAACAAGACATCTGCCTGTGCTTTGTTCCCTCTCTACCTATGACAAATCTATTATAATTACAGATCAAATGAAAATACTGTAGAGACCTTGATACATGAATCCAATGTAATCATAGCTGGAAAATTATAACTTATGTCATTACTAAGTATATTGATTTGGAAAACTATCTGGAATTCATAGCAAAGTAAGTGAAATACTGTATTACTCTTGTGGGATAGTTTTGTTTAAAGAACAAGATAATAGAATGCCCCTCCATCTATTTGCCTTTGCCCACAAAATGAGTGGGATACAAAACACTGAAGCAGCAACTTAGTTTTGCACCTGTACTAAAGCTGGCGTTGAAGTAGCCACAAAACTCCCACGCAGCTGCTTTTGTAGAGTCTTTATTCCAGCAGCACAAAATAGTTCCAGCAGCAAGGAATGCTCAGGGAATGTAGAGGAAAAGGGAAAACTACACTGACACACTGACTGCACCCCTTCTTGTTTGACTATGTCTTGTCCCATCCTCGTATGCCTGGAGACTACCCATATTTGAACAAAAATGTGTTTGGTTTTACATGAATTCATTTCATATTTGGTACTAGTCCTAGTATAATTTAAAAGTATAATTTTAAGCTTTATGTACTTCTTTACAGTTTTCAGAACAGTTTATCTAACACTTACGACAGCCTTAGTAGGTTTCAGTTATAAAATGTTTGGTGCCAGAGTGAGTATTGTACCTTCCCAATCTGAAAATAAAGTGAGACTCCACCCAAAAGCAACACCCCACAAAAATAAATCCTTTGACCAAGTATTTAAGGCTCCAAGATATTTTTAAAAAGGCGGTGGGCAGAGGGGGTGGCGAGATGGTGCCAATGCAAGTCTAGTGGCCAGTTCTTAGGGCAGGTCACTTTACTCAAACCTGAGTTAAAAAGAGTAGCCTGTCCAGCCTCCACCCTTTTATTTTTGACATACAAATGCCAGCTGTTCCTCTATATTTTTTCCGGGGGGAGGGGAGAAAAAGGTAGGAAGCTACCCTCAGCAATGAAAGCAAATTTATTTAGCTCTACTGCTGTCCACAACTGAGCCACTATATAGAGATTCTGTTTTTAAACATGTAGGAAGTATGAAAATAGGAGCTCAAACTGCCAACTACTCTTCCTGTCTGTTCATAGATTACCTGTAGCACTGCAAGAGGCCTCACATCATACCCAAACATCCCAGGTGCAACACTTTTGCACTTCAAAGATTGTTATAATCTTGGGAAGGGATTGCTTCAAAGCAATCTAAAGTAAAACAAAAAAGAATCCTTTAGTTAGAAGAGTGCCAGAGATGTCCAAGATTTGCAAATTATACTTAGAAACAATAAACTAAAAATAAAATAAGGGGTGGGGGAAAGCAGAGGGCAGCAAAAAGTCATATTCATCAATACTTGAAAGAGTTCTCCATTCAAGAAAGCCTTTACCTAGTTACCTTCTCTGGCCAGCACCTTTAATTCAGAAACATCTGTCCTCATTCTTACCTAAAACAGAACAGAGAGATTAAAATAAATGGGCCCAGCTAAACCTATCTGGTAACTTTCTTTGTTGCAAGTGCCATTTTCACAAAAATAGAATGCTACTAGCCCATGAAGGGCATCCTTTCTGCACAAAGAGGCATATAAACCAAATTTGTGTTTTGCTGGTGGGTGCTTCCAGACAGAATATCCTCCAAAAATGGTGCTTTAATAATAAACTTTGTGTGTTCTCATGCTGAGCCCCGTGCTTGCTCAGAAGAGGCAGCACGTTACTTCAACCTGGCTCTGGCACCAGCACCTGTAAAGTTTGGATGCTTTAGTGGGGCTTTTTTGGCACTTTTATCTAATAGCTAATTGAATCAACTTTAGCTAAAAGCTCCAAAATCCCAGCTGAAGTGCCTGATCTTCACTGATGCTGCTTCTTCTGGTAAAGTGAGGGTTTGTTTGGTTGGTTTTCTTTCCCTCCCCTCCCCGCCACAGCTGCCTGCAGGCAGCCTGCAGCCATGGCTCATGGGTGTTAAGCGCCCACTATTTTTTGGGGGTGGGTGCTTGAGCCTAGGAACACCCACGGAGTAGGTGCCTATGCAAAGAGGCCTTACATCCTTTTATGAACATTATAAAAATGACTCAGATTAAGTCATTCTATGACTACAAAGAACCACCCAGTTTCAAGTGACCTCTCTCTGCCCCCAAACAATTAATTACATAGTTCAAGTTCTACGCTATCTCCCTTGCTTTCAACTCTGTACGTTCCACCCCCACCATTTTCTCCCCATTTTGTTCTCCTCAGTAAGCCTCACAAAAGCTGACCTGTAGAAACAGTGACATTTTTTGCCACCATACTGTTCATGCACCTTGATTGTTCTATACCTTTCCCCATCCTACTATGGGCATATTATCCATGTAGACTGTAGACCATTTCATGCAGAGAATGCCTTGAGCTATATATTAGTATGGTGTTTAACACAGTACAAATAGCGCCCCCTTTAACTGGCCCTTAGGCACTGCTAGAACAAACAACAATAGTAAAGAATGTCAAAGCATTCTAACATATAAACACATGTAGAAGGTGGTACATTTGGCACAAGTTAAACACATTTGGATTGTAATATCTTAACTCTGTTGTTAAGCAATAAGAAGCCTTAGGCCATGTAAGACCATTGAGATATCTGGTATCTGCCCTCCATTCAACCAAACAAAAAAGAGTTTGTCTGCAAGGTTGTACTGAATCAAACCATGATATAGCTTCCAGGAGGCCACTAAGAAAAAAGAAAAAGAAATAATATTACAATACATACTGAACTACTGACGGGCAGTTGAGTTGGCAGGCTCCATTTTAACTCCACCTGTATTCCACCCCCTGCCATAAGCCTCACTGAAATAACTGATGATTGGAAGATAGCCAATGTGGTCCCCATCTTTAAAAAAGGGAGGAAGGAGGACCCGGGCAACTATAGGCCCGTCAGTCTTACCTCAATCCTGGGGAAACTCTTTGAGAAGATCATTAAGGAGCACATCTGTGATGGGCCAGCATTGGGGATGATGCTCAAGGGCAACCAGCACGGTTTCATTAGGGGCAGGTCATGTCAGACCAACCTGATTGCCTTTTACAATCAGGTCACAAAAGCATTGGATGCAGGTGTCGCTGTGGATGTAGTCTTTCTGGACTTCAGCAAGGCCTTTGACACTGTTGACCACCCCATCCTCATTAAAAAACTAGGCGACTGTGGCATTGATGCCTACACAGTCAGATGGATTGCAAATTGGCTGAAGGGTCGTACTCAGAGGGTGGTGGTGGACGGGTCATATTCGACCTGGGGGGAAGTGGGCAGCGGAGTGCCCCAGGGCTCGGTCCTTGGGCCTGCACTGTTCAATTTCTTTATCAGTAATTTGGACGACGGGGTGAAAAGCAACCTGTTTAAATTTGCTGATGATACCAAAATTTGGGGTGAGGTGGGCATGCTAGCAGGGTGGGAAAGACTGCAGCAAGACCTGGATAGGTTGCAAGGGTGGGCTAACAAAAACAGGATGAGTTTCAATACTGACAAGTGCAAGGTGCTGCACTTGGGCAGTAGTAACCAGCAGCACACTTATAAGATGGGTCCCCCTCTACGCGACACTGGTCAGGCCACAGCTGGAGTAGTGTGTCCAGTTCTGGGCATCCCACTTCAAGAGGGATGTGGACAACATTGAGAGGGTCCAGAGGAGGGCCACCCACATGATCTGGGGACAGCAGGGCAGACCCTACAATGAGAGGCTACGGGACCTGAACCTGTTCAGCCTTCACAAGAGAAGGCTGAGGGGGGAGCTGGTGACCATCTATAAACTCACTAGGGGGGATCAAAAGGGTTTGGGGGAGACCTTGTTTCCCCTAGCGCCCTCCGGGATAACAAGGAATAACAGCCACAAGTTGTTGGAGAGTAGGTTTAGATTAGACATCCGTAAGAACTACTTCACAGTTAGGGCGTCTAGGATCTGGAACCAACTTCCAAGGGAAGTGGTGCTGGCTCCTACCCTGGGGGCCTTTAAGAAGCGGCTTGATGCCTGCCTGGCTGGGGTCATTTGAGCCCAGTTTTCCTCCTGCCCAGGCACGGGATTGGACTTGAAGATCTACAAGGTTCCTTCCAACCCTACTTCTATGAACTGTTTATAGACCCCATATTTATAATTTTTATATATATAGGGAACCTTCCATTTTTCAGTACATCTTAGTTTCTCAGTCACAAACATTTTCCTCTAGCTCAAGAACTGGAAATATTTATATGGACCGTTCAGTAACAGAACTTAACTTGACACATATTCCATGCTGCTCTATTTCTCCGTACAGGAAAAGAAATCATATATTTAAACAATTGAACTACTTTGCAACCACACTTTTTTTACACTAGCCTGGCTGGCTGATTTTATTATTCATAACCCCCCATATAAAAGAGTTTTCTGGCACTAGCCTGTCAAATCTCTTCCAAATGCAACAGCCTGATTTTGCATCAATGCAATGCTCTTTCCAATGTGACCTTGCAGATGTTACATTGCTATAAGTGACCAAAAAAATGCATTTAAACTTTGAAACATCTTTCAACTTATAGGCCAAAACTGTCCTCAGAGGTACACACTTAGAAACATGAACATTAAATGAAAAAGGTTAGTTTAGAATGTGAGTAATACCATGTCAATTAGACTGCTCTCAATAGGTTTAGATAACATTGCACTGGTAACTGTGTCAGCAGCCTAAGCCACACCTACACAGGCTAATATTGGTAAATCAGGGAAGAATTTGTAAGTATGCTCCTATTATAGGCAAGTCTCAAAGTTTTTGAAAACTTGATGTGCAGCAGCCAAGTAAAGGACCACTGTTTCGTAGGTTCCGTGTACAACATTTACTGATTAATTTGCAATAAGACTACTCTTAACACAGGTCAGATGGCAGTCTTGCTATAACAATCCTAGCATAACTATCCTAACTAAACATAATCATTCATTAAAAGGTTACAACTGAGAACATCCTCATAATCTCAGCATGTAAATAAGGGCCAAAAGAATCACACACATATTCCAAGAAACTTGGTCACGTGTGTTAGACCCCGATTCCATGCAGTGCCCAGGAGACGACAACCCAATTGCTCATGGATTCTGTTACTCATTAGCCAGAACAAACAGGGAGCAACCACTACTTGCACACAGTGCTCGCAACAGCTGTCTCCATTTTTAATAAAGCTTCGGGCGAGCTCCCTCACAGACACACAGCCTGTGAAGACAGGAAACAGCAGTGAACATTAGTTCTTTTCACATTTTATACACCTTGGTTCATACTCATTAATATTCACTCCACCTATGTCACTTCTCTTGTTCCACCCATTTCTCCTCCCGTCTCAAGCTGCGCCTCATTTTACCATTTACTTCATTAACATGAAATTGCCTATGCATTTCCTTCATTTACATGCCTCTACTAAGAGCACAAGTTTAAGACTTTGACCTCCACTTCTTTCGGTCACTTGCTGGTTCTTTGCTGACTTCAGCACCATCTCCAAGGCCTTGCTTCTGCTTCATCTCCTGACAATAGCTGGTGGACTGCATCTTGTTCTTCTTACACAATGGGCTCTAACACTACAACTCTGTTTAGAAAACTGCCTACCTAAGCATTTGCAAGGTTAGTCTTAACATATCATCCTGCCTTGTGACCAGCAGCTTTTGCCGAGACACAGATTAAAGCTTTGTATTCAGCTGCAAATCCAGTGCTCCCCAAAATCCAAATTAATGTCACCCTAACAACATGTGTCAACCTTCTCAGGATTCCAAATATTCATGTATGGAGATTTATTTTTTCCCCCTTGAGAAGCAGTCATACCGAACTAAAACTTAAGCTACTTTAGTGCCTATATAACATTTAAAAAAAATATTTTCTTAGATGGATTACCGTATTTACTTGAATACAAGATGAGAAAACGTGGGAAGGGCAGAGGGGAAAGGAAACACTTGACCCCCTCAGCCACTGTTTCCCCCTGTAACTGTGGGGGAAATTTAAGACAACCCTCCAATATTTAGATTCTGTACCTGAAAAACTATAACAAATGTATACAATTTTCCATATACAGAATCTACTTATTGAGGGGTCATATATTTGATTAAAGGCAGCAATCACCCAATTCAGATGATAAAAACGTCTTGTTTAAAAAGTCTTGTTAAAACACTTGAATCTCTTGCAAGAAAAGAGTACTTTGGTAGATTATTCAATTACAC